GAATGCTGATCTCATATTTTATTTTCATTACCTACCTATTTCTATGAGGCAGGAAAATAATATATTTGATTACTTATAGTATCAACAGAATGCCTCTGATTACACAATGCCATGATATTTGTAAGCACCTGATCTTACAATGTAAATGTTTCATAATATACTAAATTGACAAGAAAACAAAGTCTACGACAAAGCAACAGCAGTATTGATAAGCTATAGAATTCACTGGACACATTGTCTGACCAATTTTGACAATTCTAAACCACTTGTTTTTATACAATGGGTATACATTTCTAGGCCTAGATTTTGTAGGTGATCTAGCTGGAGTTGACTTATTTTTGTGCATAATATATGCCAACTAGCCTATCTTTTTATGTATGAATAATTGTTAGTACCATTTCCTAGATAACAATGAGATTTTGTTTTCATAATTACAAACAGTTCCATATACACATTCATCAGTGTCTGTTAAGTATATGAATCAAAGCCTGAATACTGTTTACATTATCTAATAAGAATAAAATGTTTTGTTACCATACTTCACAGTTGTCAACAGTTATTTAGAAATCATCTTTATCATTACAATAAAATGCACATCCTTGTCTTTTGCAACTGCTGTTTCCCATTCCCATTATTTTTCTTGTTCACTCATCAGTCTTACAAAGGTTGATATCCTCCCATGAGCCTTGCATTTAATTCTTTATTTGAGAGCATTATTTTAGTCATCCATTATAAAAGAAAACATTACAAATATTACACAAAATAAAAAGATAAAACAATGTAAGCAATGTCAATATAAACTTGGAGACTTGAATAACAAAAAAAAAAAACTACTTACAAAGTCTTGCTTCATAGGCGTTGCTGATCCAAAGTCACAACTTCAACTTCATTATCTCTCCTTCTTGTGGTCTTGAGGCACGAAGATCTCCCCGAACAATCCTGGGTTTTCACTGTGACTCCTGTGACCTGGTGCGTGCGTATTAACAAGTCTTCTAGTTCTGGTGTGCAGTCACTATCACTTACAAGGTCTACTACTTTTGGGGAGTTACTGGGCACTGGAGATTTCAGTGGAGGGACACTGCGTCCTGACCCTGCTGAATCGCTGTTGGAGGAATCACTTGGGGATGAGATGACTGAGTGTGTATTCACTTCAGAACCAGTTCCTGAATCTTTGTCAAGTAGAGCAGTAACAAGTGGAGGGCCACAAATTACTGAAGGTCTTGGGATTGAGGGACTCACTGAGTGAGGGGATTCAGAACACAGAGTATGGTCTGCTGGAAGTTCATCCACTAACATAACATCAAGGTCAGATGGTTCTCCCGAGCTGCCACTTAAGACAATGGTAACATTAGTCTCATCAGATACCTGCGACTCACTGGCTTGATCTGATGGAGAAGAAACAGTGATGAGAGGAAGACTACGATCTGCTTCAGGACTTGGGAATAGATCAGGTGAAACTATCCCTTCACGGTCAGGCTCTGGGAGAGGAAGTGAGGATGATCGTGGTCCAAATGAGGGCTTAGGTTCCAGTTTAAGTCGCTTGTCTCCTTCATCATGAACTGGTGTGGAAAAATACTTATGTTTGTACCACATCTTCCTGCTTCGTTTGATGTCACTTTCCCCAGCAACACCTGCAGATGATGATGGTCTTTCATCTTTCAAGTCTGTCATCACTGAACTCTCTCCAACATCATCAGAAAATACACTAGCTAAGTCAATGCTATCTTGACTTTTAACCAAGCTACTTATTGACTGGTTGTCCCCTTCTTCATCAGCATCAACCGACATCTGTTGGGGACTATAACCATACCTACCAATATCACTACCCTTGATACTTGTTCCAGCACTTACAACTCTACTGGTCACAGGTGGGGAAACTTTGACTATCACATTTCTTATTGCACTATCACTTACAATATTTCCTACATTGGCAGTTTCTAACTTGCTGCTAAGGTTGACTTTAGCAGAATTGGATGATTTTGAACTCGTCTGTTGCTCGTCTTGACTAGAAGTTGGGGTGGTCACATATTTACAAGATGCAGATGAAGTGGGGGATGGAGTGTAAGGATCAGTCCACTCCAAGTTAATCCCTGGTGATCCCTGAGTCCCTGGATTCCCTGAGGTACCTGCTACATTGCCCTCAGAAGCATCACATCTGGCTTCTCCTTCCAGGCTGAGTGATCCCTTCATATTGCCTCGAGGAGTTGGGAGGACTAAAGTCATGTTGCTGTCACTGTGCCTCCGACGTTTACTTGGGGAAGTCAGGAATCCATCCAACATTGCTGCCTCTAGTGTACTGCTGTTGCTCTCATTGCTTTGCAACTGTCTCTTAAAGGAACCCAAACTCCGGCGTTGAGAGCCACCATACTCAATGCTATAGTGGTCTCCAGAGCGATTCAAGGCCTCATGAAGAAGTTTCAAAACCTGGCAAAAAATGAATATCAAGGTTATTAGATATAAGAATTATGTGTGTTTTAATTTCAGATTATTCCAATGCCAC